ACCTTACCAATTATATGCGAGCGCTTTCGGCAGCTGGTCGTGCTATCATCATCAAGGCTCTACTCAAACTGAACCTTTCATCCTCTTATTGGTCTTTTTATGCAGTCCGAACCCCTTAGTGCAGGTACTGCAGGTACTTTAAGTAAATTTACCTGTGTTTGGGTTTTAAATAGAGAGGGTTATATTTTAGGAGTGACCAATTTTTTGGGAAAGAAAGTTTTTGGTTTTCTTTCCCAAAAGAGAGTGTGTATTGTTATGTGTAATATATTGAATATTAGGTCTTTTTGTGTTTTGATTTGTATTTATGTTTATGTTTATGACTGTTAAATTTATGGATGTTTAAGTTTCCCCAGATGTCCATATTGTTTCCCTTATTGACTTGTTTTGTGAGTTTTATGTTCTCTGATGGGGGGAAATTGTGTTTGATTTGTATGACGTCTGTTGCGAGGTTTGATTTATATATTATTGGGTTTATGCATGCCTTTTTGTGCTCGTCGTACCTTTGGATCAGTTTTTTTTTTTTGGTTTGGCCGATATAGAATTTGTTGCAGTCCGAGCATTGTATGCTGTACGCCCTGTTTAGGTTTTTGTCTTCTTCTTTTTCATAGCTGTTTATTTTTTGTGTTATTTTTGTGTTTGGCTTGTATGTGATGTTGATGTTCAGGGGTTTGAAGATGTTTGTTAGTTTTTTAGTTTGGTGACCTACGTACGTAAATGCTGTCCATCAGCCAAACCAAGAAAAAACTGATCCAAAGGTACAATGAGCACAAAAAGGCATACATAAATCCAACAGTATATAAATCAAACCTTGCAACACACGCCATACAAAACAAACATAATTTCCTCTCACCAGAGAACATAAAACAAATCAATAAGGGAAACCATATGGACATCTGGGAAAACTTAAACATCCATACATTTAACAGTCACTTATCGAGGAACAAATATAAATCTGAATTGAAGGGGTTATATTTTTAGGAGTGATTAATTTTTGGGAAAGAAAGTTTTTGGCTTTCTACTACTCCATCTTGATACAAAAAAGGGATGAGGGTCTGAAAGTTACTTCTTTGCATGATCTTCACATCCATGTATAGAGTTACTTATTTTCAAATTGATTACTTCTTTCCTTTCTTTGGAAGATTCCCTCATCCCTTTTTTTGTATCAAGATGGAGTAGTAGAAAGCCAAAAACTTTCTTTCCCAAAAAACATAAATCAAAACACAACAAGACCTAACATTCAATATATTACACAAAACAATACATACTCCTAGAAACAGTACACCTAGAGAAGATCCAACACAAAGAATATCACCTGATTTAACCCAAATACAGGCAAATTTACCTAAAGTACCTGCAGCACCTGCGCTAAAGCGTTCAGACGACATAAATTGACAAACAAGAGGATGACACGTTTAGTTTGAGTAGAGCCTTGATGATGATAGCACGAACAGCTGTCGAAAGCGCTCGCATATAATAAATAGGAGTTATAAAGCTTCAAATCCTTTTTGCAACATACATTAATATTAAAATACGGAAAATTAGTTGCATTATTCAATATATATGATCTCTCAGCTGATTATACCTATTACCATTCCAAAGTCAAACTAATAAAAAACGACTCTATTTCGTCAGTGTAATCTATATAATTCAACTGGAAGAATAAAATTAATTTTGAAGGGTTTTGATGAATATTGAATTCAATATAGTGTTGAGTTCTTGAATCAGCATATTAATAAATCCAATTTATTATCCTATAATATTAGACAGCAATGCTTAACTAAAATTATATATAAATAAGATTCAATGATTATATATCTTCCTCAAATGATAAGAGTTTCATTTGTCCAATTTGGATTATTTTTTTTGTTTCTTGGAAAAATAGAATTGCACTCTGAAAAGTAAGGCTTAACGGATGGAGCATACGAATACCATCAGGCATTCAAATAAAATGGATTTTTCTAAAATGATTCTCCATGAAACTATTAAGTTGTTACATTGTAATTTCATTTCATCATATAGGTAATACAATTGTATTTTTCTGTGGCATCTTTTTTTCTAATGAAAATTATTTTTCAAAATTCAATGATCAATACGGTAGTCATATTATATGAAATGAAATATTTATATTGAATTTTCGTAGTTATATAATAAATTTAGAATTTGACTACCAATTCAGCTCAAACATTTCTGGAAGGTTGAAATTCGTTTCCATTCTTTATATTGTTTTATTTCACACACAAACACTTTCAGTAACATTAGCATTCGATTTTCCAAAATATCAAATTATTTCATTTATGAGTCATTTACTGGCATAATATTCATTGTGCAAAATAACAACTGTTAACATCTTATTCCAAAATACATAGTGAACCAAAATCATTTGGTGGTGCTTCAATTTAAAAATGGCACCATAGGAAAAGGTATGAAAATAGTTGATGAATATTTTGTTACTTCCTAACTCTAGTTATTTTTTTTTTCAGAACACAATACATGCACACACACACAAACACACAATATCTACACAATGAAGCACACACACTGACTCCAAGCATATGCAAACATGTGATCTTAGTGACAAATGGCACATTGTGTAGTGTAGCTGTATTACCTACAAAAATTAATATATTGTGTGTTTCCTCAATTTACAGAAGAAAATTATGATTTTAATCTGTCTTACAATCTTGGCAATTATTATCACATGTACCATTGGAGGATATCTTGGATTGGTGTAAAAGTATGGTAAGTAATAATAATGATAAAACTATGTTTTACTTCTTTATTCTATGTGGAATTTTTTGTCCCGACAATATTTCCAGAAAGGTTAACAATTTTCTGTGAATTGTTAGTTTTTCAAAAGTGGTCAATCAACCAATATTGTTGTAAAATGTTGGCTAGATATGCTAGATACTTTTACATAAATTTTTCAAGTTTTTCTTTGCCACTAATTTTATTGTACACTATTATCCAAAAAAAGTAAAAACTGAAATGCACAAACGTATGTCCTTGGAAAATGAAAGCTTTCATTTTTACATCTCTATATGATTTAGTTTTGACATTATTTTTTTTAATAAAAGAAAGGTATTTCTTCTTACAATTGCTTGTGTCAATCAAATTATGCATTGTCATCCGAACCGAACATGTAGGTAACTAAAATTACAGCTCATTTGGTTGATGTTTTAAAATTATTTTACAAGATTCAACCCAAACTAGTATTTTCATAAACTACACCTTACGATTTGATTTTCACAAACTTTATTTTCAAAAAATAAAAATATATTACGACATGTTTCTCTATCACAGTAGCTTTTTCGTAATGATTTTCATTTAGTTAAGGGCCGAATTAATCAGAAAAAACAAACTAGTATACGATACATACATCGCAAGTTGAATAAAAGCATGTGTAACAACAGAATTGATTGATAATTTTAGGAAATATCTATGAAATATTTTGAATGTCAGCAGGAGCATTTAAATACTACAAACACCTATTACTGACCAATATATTGTTTGAAATAGGGTTATCCAGATTTAAATATCCAACCACGAATCTTGTGCAAATACATTGTAAAATGTGGAAAATTTATTATAATTAATATAAATTAATGTTCAAGTCACTTATCTGGTTATCCACAGAAAAAAAATACCATAAACACATACCTACATATGAGTCTAAAAATTCATTTTTAATTTCAAGCATATTTTTCTGTTTCAGAACATTTATTCAGCTGTTCCAATAATCGTCGTGAACTTAGCTTAGCAAGAGATCGTTTTTTGTTCAAGAAGAAGAAATATTGTACATTTCATTTAACTTTAATTGTAGGTATTAGATAAGCTGTAAAATAGTGAGCTATTTATATTTTGGGTGATTTGAATCGCAAAACTGTTTGCTATAGCAATAATAAAGTTTATGTTTTACGACGTGTGATATTTGACTTTTCCATTATAATTTTAACTTGAAAAAAATGTATTTGTGTATTACTGTACAAAATATATTGAGGTATTCTGAATCACAGAAAAATTATTTTTCGGCATGTTAGAAATTTACAAGTGTCGTTTTTCTTGAGAAAATTGTTTATATCTATTACCCTATTTGAGGGTATGTAATTAATTCTGTAAAATAATTTAAAATTTAAAATGGATACTAAGAAATTCTACTGATATATAGAATGTTTAGGAATTATAGGGATAGGATTTTAGTAGACAGAGTTGTTCTTATTTAGAGGAGATTGCACAATCAGTAGTGTATTTGAGGGGCCTAAGTGATTCACTTGCAGACAGTACCTTTTTATATACCTGCATATCTAACAAATCATAAACCTTTCATCTCATTCAATCATTTAGAGATCATTACGATTTCGGTACTGTCATTTTTGCACTCGTAGTGTACAGATTTGGAACATAGATGGTGGGAATGTGCCAGTTCAATTATGTTGTACGATTATACTGCAAAACATAATGGGTTTAAAGAATTAAATAACTACCAAATTTGAACTGGTATATTCACAACAGTAATATCACTTTTCCTATGTCTTCCGCCAGTATTAAAATATTTGCAAAATGACCCATATTATTTTTTATTAAATTATGTTATTCATGTGAGTAGGCTTTCAAAGATCTCTATGGTGAAGAACATACCTTGTCTATTGTCATTTTCAAAAGATATTTGTGTATGTAGACTTTTATACTCAATTTTCAATTTTGCGTATTATCCGCAGGATTCGTTATATGTTGGAATAGTGTTTTGAAATACAGAACAGTTCAAAATTAAGTAAAATATGTAATAAAAATCTATTGTGTGTCTACTGAATAAGTAAATACAAAGACCCTGGTTTCTTTTCGTGTTTTGTTGAATCAGAAAATTATGATCAGTTCAATATTTTATATGATTAATTCCTTTCATTTAGAATTTTCCATTCCAGCTACTTTAAAAAATATTAAAGGACTCCATGATGTCCTGTTTGTATATTCTATAAGTACTACTTGTCCTTTACAAACAAATTTTAATTATGATATTCATATCACCAAATTATTTTATTTCAAACTGAAATACATACTTGACTGTTCTATATATCATAAACCTAACAACAAAATAAAAAAAATTCAAATTGTAAGTGTCAATTCAACTGAAATATTCAACATAATTACTAAATTTGTTGTATCTATAAATTTTTGCATCACATAATGTTGATGCAGAGAAGTGAGATTTGAGTAGAGTACTTTTCATATAAGTAGTTATTCTTCGAATATACCAATGGTGTTGTAGTTGTAGGCTAGTTTGAAAAATATGTGGTGTTCCGCATTTATGTAAGTTGAAAACTTAACATATATTTATTTATACCGTTTGACAGCAATTCACACTGTACAAACTGATAGCAATATATTTATAATATCTCCCCTATCATCATAAAGTTTTAAATTCATGTGGATACTTTTTGTCTATATTCCAGAAATACTTATATCACAGTAAAAACATATTTTAGAAAAGTCAATACTAATTATTGTTGACCTTGAGTTTAGTTCACTGATGCATGTGTATATATTAGTTAGTACATTCGAACTGATGAACAGTGAATGGAATGGGATAGTTCTATATATATTTTCTTATTAAACTCGTTTTCATTCACTGCAGTTCTAAGATAGGGGAGGAGCACATTGTGATTATTAGATGTATTTTCTTTTTGAATTGAGAGTACATACCAAAGCAGTGATGCTTGGGTAATGTTTTAATAATTATTTACTATTTGTTTACACGTTATTAACTAACAAAAAGTAAGACATATTCAACATATGAATAATAATGTTCTAAAAATAGTTGAGGAAATTCAAAAATCTATTTATTTGTGAATGTTGGGTAGTGAATTCAAGTTGTACACATGAATAAATGAATGCTTATAACACCATGTGTAGTTTTATTTCAACAGTGGTTCATTTTTGAAATAAATCCAGCTCTAGTTGAAATTGACTTGAAAAATTATAAAATCATGGAATTATTGAAAATATTTTATTTTAAATCCCTCTCTCTCTCACTCAAAATGTTCTCTAACTTTACAGTTCAAAACTACTTGAATATTGCTTCAGGCTTGTGTGCTGGATTTATACTTCTGGTGGTGCTCAATAAAAACCTCATTTCAGATTATAATTTTTATTTGACGTGTTTCGGGATTTAGTTAAATGTGTACAGTAACCGAAATAATGAGTTTATTCTATTTGGCTTCTACACACTGTAGGCATGGCGGAAAGGCTTCGGATTTTAGGACCTTCTCCGTGTTCTCTCCAAGACTTGAACCGTATAAGAATATTCGTTTTCCTCACAATTGAGATCAGATCCCGACTGAGTCTTTTATATATCCCCGAAACGAGCAAGGCCACAATTTTCTAAATATAATCTTTGGTGTGTTCCTAACGACTATGGCATCCCCGTTGCCAGCAGGCAATAAAAAGTTGTTTCTATCAGTACTAAGATTTTTCGGTGGTCAACCTCTCCGATCGGACACTTTCAAAAGACGAGTTCAGCTTACTTGACAAAGGTGCAAACTTCGAGCTCCAGCCAAGGTACACTCCGAGGATATCATTGCGAATTTTGAATCAAGTATTCGTATTTTACTTAATGACATTGCTGAGGAAATCCGCATAGAATCGTCGAGGATTCTAATGCACGCAAAACCACACAAGGCCAACTCAACACGACGGGAACGAGAGGCACTGAAAAATCTCAATACTGATAGGAACATCTTGGTATTGTCTGCTGACAAAGGAAATGCTACCGTCGTGATGAAAACCAAGTCGGGGTCCGACCTCCGAGATTTTAAGATGAATTAATTTTCTCATCCGTCCAAGTCTTGGAGAGAACACGACAAAGGTCCTACAAAAAGCTGAAGCCTTTCCGCCATGTCTAGATGGCTCACCAAAAATCCATTAAGAAAATGTACCATTAAGACCTTTCGTGAATGCGATAAGCTCACTAACTTATAAGCTGGCCAGATACTTGACAACCTTACTGCAGCCGCTCATGAGAAAAATCGAAACATTTATTAATGTTTCGAGACAGTTCATCGAAAAAATTAGAGATATGAAGTTAGGTTCTGGAGACATAATAGTGAGCTTCAACGTGGTCTCCTTGTACACGATGATTCCGATCAATAACATGATAGGGCTAATTGGCGAAGTATTCCCAGCAGATACAACAGCCCTCGTCGCTCATTGCTTACCATCAACTTATGTCCAGTGCGATGGTGTTTTTTAAGAACAAATGGATGGTGCCGCAATGGACATTCCATCAAGACCGGTGGTGGGAAACTGTTTCATAGAAGATTTCGAACAACGGGTCTCATTGCAAGCGGCCGTTAAACCACATTATGGGCTGCGTTATGTTGATGACAGGTTCGTGGTATGGCAAGATGGTGGAGAGACACTTAACGATTTTTCATTATATCTAAACTCAACCCAAAATTCCAAGTTACAAATGTCATTTTCAGGAACTGTGGTGGGTGTAAACTTCAGTATTCTCAGCTAAAGGAAATTATCCTGAAGAAAAATCCATATTTAATGCTTGCAGGAAACCCACCGAAAACCACAAGATGAGTTTCAAGTGAAAGGAAGAGTAGCTATATTCATCCAAAACATCCTTCTTACAAAATCCAAATACATCAAAAAGTTGAGGTAGTCGCCACACCCATAGATAACCCTTCCAGTGTGACAATCTGCAGTTTCTCTTTATCCAACAACTGGAATCTTGAGAAAGATAGCCAACTGACTCCTAGAATCCCACCTGAATGTGTGTGAGAGGCTCATGTCCCACTGATCTGATGAACTTGACATAAGATGGAGAAGACTTGAAGGGTTGATTGATGAAATGAATCTCACTTCTGAATAGTATTGAAGTAACTATTTTTTGGGTTTGAAGGTCGTCAGTTTTTGGAATTTCTTCCTGACGTTCCGCTGGCGCAAGTGGCTAGCTTCTTCAGAGGTTTATACATCCTGAGTTTATCTTTGATGACTGGATATTACGGCTGCATAAAGTGGTAAATTGCGTAAACCGTGTTTATGTTGATTCAGGTAGTCTGGTGTAATAATATTTGTACCTGGATTAGGTAAATTTTCAATAACATTCGTCGAACCTTTTCTACTTGCTGTCATGCTGTTTGCTATTTTTGAACTTCTTAAAATGGGATTCCATATACGGTTGAGGTTCACAGCTTCTTCTTTTTTGTTGAAATCATTGAGTAGCTGTGCAGTTATTAATTTCAACAGAAAAGAAGAAGCTGTGAAATTATTAAAAAACTATTGTCAATTGACGAATATCATGTCTCAACATTAATATTTTTCTATTTGTTTTCGTTCTTCTCTAGCGGTATCTACTCCTCCTGTGTATCCAGTTTCGTTGAATGTTCTTAAAATATTCGGCATTGTAGGCTCACTTTTGTCAGTGGTATAACTATTTATAATAATTCTACGTAACAAACTTTTATCTGCTTTGTCTTAATCGGTTTTAGGCTTTTTCCTATTTTTCGTTTTAGTTGGCGATTTAAAAGAAGAACTTGCACCTCGTTCTATATCCCTTTGTTCTGTAACAATACTTTGAATACTTCTTTCTGAAACACCTGTTGCAGCAATCACTGTCTCGTACAACTTATCTAATGGAATGTTAAGTACCTCCGACGTCTTTTCTCTCTTCATATATTTAAATTTATTAGGAACAATATACAAAACACTATTCAAAATATTTGCCTACACTGAACAAATAGGAATGAAAAACACATCAAGTTTGCAAGGACTCCTATTTAGCAATAGGCTGGTGCAGATACCAAATTTTTACGGTGGAAAGCAGGGTGCCTCGGTAGGCTCGCGAAACTCTCTGAGATGGGCTGTAAAGATGTCCCAATCCGTCGAAGATCTCAACATGCGCATAGAGTGCTTAGCCGTTTCGATTTGTGGCTCTGCTCCATAGTCAGTACTTGTCGTTAAAGTTCAATGTTATTTACATTTGGGAATGAATTGATATTATGTGAAAGATTTTTTACATTATGGTCCATAAATTTCGATTCTTGCTTCATCTGTCAACATGTGTACAAAATTGAGCCAATCTCATTTTTCGCGTCGAGAGATTTTGACGAAACAAAAGTGAAGTGAATCGTGTTTTTAGGAGAGATTAATTTTTGGAAAAGACAGGTTTTGGCTTTCTACTTCTCAATCTCAATAAACAAAAATGTGGAAGTCTTTCAAAGAAAGGAAGAAAGCCATTAATTTCAAAATAAAGTCTTCACAAAAATGTGTAGATCATGCGAAAAAGTAACTTTCAGATACAAACTGGTTAAAAAGCCCTTTAAAAACAAACTATGTACTTTCATATAAACATTGAATTATACGAAAGGAAAATAGGTACTTTGGAAACAACATGAACATTGAATTATACAAAAAACTCTTTTTTTATTCAGTTTGTTCTCTAAACATTCGTTATGAAATTGAATCAGATATTATTATTCACAGGATATACACGATATAGTAGGTATATGAAATATATAAAATTTCACTAACATGGAACACTATCATCCTCAATGTCGGACATTCAATGTTTCGGCAATATTGATGAAAGGGCAATTTAAGTTCTTAAATCAAAATATAAGAACAGATAAAGTATGTATCATTTCTCAAAAAATTAAACGTAATTCCGGTCTCGACACTTCAGCAATGTACAGCATGTATAGTGGTGATACTGAATATAAATTCACCCACCGGAAATTTAAGGGCATGGAGAAATAGGGATGAAAAGATAATTTTTATGGGCGCGCCTTTTTTTTATGGTAAATATATTCGGATTTGTGTCGATTACAAAATGACAATATACAAATATCTTAAAGATTTTTAACCACCCCTTACACAGAATAGATGAAATTTTTGTATTACAAACCAAACACACACAAAAAAAACATTTCACTAGCGACACAACAAGTGGATTATAATATAAATTCAAATAAATAAATGTTAATTAACAAAAATTGTTTTGATTGTGCCAACTGCCGTCTATTTATCAACAGCACATCTAATGTATAGTACAGCGCTCAGATAGATATCTAAGGTAGTAAATGAAAATTGCAGGAAACTGTCAAGATATTTATCTCAATGTAATTATTGAATTCTGTGATCGAAACCAAAGCCGACAAATCTGATGAATTCCTCTTAATTGTCAACTGCCACTAGTAGTAGACGCTGAAGTTTGAATTTGAAAATTTTATTTTCCTCTGATGCAATGGAAAATAAATCTGTGAGAATATGTTTTGGCCTATGGCCAAACATTCTGTCACTTGTCAAAACCAGTTATTGTTCCTTTTTTCTCCTGAAATAATCTTCGTCGGATCATCGTAAATTAACCAATGACATCATTCGACAATTATTAAGATTATTCGGTGAATTTCAATTGATGAAAAACTGAACAAGATCATTATAAAAAGTGAGGTTAAAATTTTTCCGTTTTCAAGCAACGTCCACGGGAGCCAAGTCACAACTGTCGTGAGACGTTCATGGTTTTTTTTAGCACAGTTTAAGCTATACTGTGCTTTTTCTACTGTGATTCGACCTTTACCGAATCAGCTGACTACAGATTGCAACTGACAACTTCATTTAGCTGATTTGCATCATAAACCGGATATTCTTGGAAAAGTTATACAAATCTTAAGCTTGAATTTAATATTATCAAGTCTATGATACAAATAAAAAAATAAAATATTCAAGGAAGGACGGCCATTGCTGTTAAAGATATCTCTCGATGTTTTTATAATTTCACCTTTACTCATTTCATACTTTTAGTTATATTGGTTGCTCCTTTTCTCCTAATGTTCAAAAATATAGTTTTACTTTGTACAATTCTTGTGAACACTCACGGTGAGTTAACATATCAGAGGAGAGATAGGGCATTTTAAAACTTTCTTGATTTTAGGAGTTCCTCAATACAACAATGAATATTGGGCCGGAAGGTGGTTTCCTCATTCCGCTAGCGAAACAGATCAAAATCCATTAGTTCTCCCAAAAAAATCACATTCACATGATCACGGTATAATAATGGGAAAGGAAGATAGCAGCTGTGATGATGCTAAAGTAAAAGGGTTTTATTAGTCCTTTGATATAATGTACTAAGGATTTGAAATTTCAGACAAATTTAGCCATTGACTGGTTCATGAACAAAACAAATTTTACCTGTCTTGATGATAAAAAGCTTTTCCTACCACAAAGTATTGTTCATCCCATTCATACTGTCGAACATATTCCGGCAGCATATAGTGTAAGTTACTTATTATTTACTATATATATTTGAAGCATACATCATTAGTATTTTTAGGCTGCTCATAAATGTATGAATGAATCGATTGAATACACTGAATCAATTCCTACTTTGTAAGTATTTCTTCAGGTATTTAACCGTGTTACTAATTTTTATTTTCTGTAGCGGAACACATCGGCCATTGTGGGCTGTATATGGGGAATATACATTTGTTCCCAAACAACGTTGGATTCATAATTTGGAACACGGAGCGGTTGTTATGTTGTATCATCCATGTGCTAATAAGAATCAAGTGAAATTACTCAAGAGTATAGTTAAATCGTGCCTCTACAAACATGTTATTACCCCTCATAGTGAACTGTCATATGATAGAGTGAGTTAATTTTCCTTATTCAGCACATTAATTACTGATAGCAATTCTCTGTAGTAATTAATTTATTCTTATCTAGTTTCTTGAGAAAAAATTGGTGTGCAAGTGACAAATCATGTGCAGAATTCATCTATGCATGTTAAAAAGATATAGTCCAACATTTGGGGCATTATAATATGAAATATATCAGCTATTTGAGTATTTTGATCATTTCTTCCATAACGCAGGATAGTTCATAAAGGGAAGCTAAACTAAACATGTTCTGGAAACGATTATTCTTTGCACAGATATCAGTTCCTGCACAAATCGGATAACTTTCTAATTCTGTGGAGAGTGGCTCCAAGTTTTTCAAAGGTTTTGACGAATGTTTTAGTAGGCAAGTAAAATGACCTCTTTTCTATTTCTGGTGACTTAAACAATGAAATGATGTAAACCTATTACCCGCTATATCTTCAGAGCAATTCTATTGTAATCAGGATTTGGTAACATTATCAAAATGAGGTGGTTGTTACTATTGATATCGGTCCTAACTTCCTTACTATTTTATCCTATGGATTCTTATAACTCTGCTGCGCCTCAGGTGTCAGACTTGGTATGACCATACTTTACATTTGACAGTCCAGTTCAAATGCCTCTCTTTGCCTCATCTGAAACATTTTCGCCATTGACTTTTTTTTTGTGCTACTTGGGACCACACCACAGCCTCATGGACTAATCACATTTTCCCCTTCTTTTTAATTCCAACAATCTTGCACCCTGTACTAATTTGTAAAGGTTCCTTGTTGGATGTTTGTCATAATTACATAACTTAGATCATAAATTGTTTGGATACTGCCATCCAGCTCTTCACATTCTCAAAAAAAAAAAAGCTGTCTCTGTCCCTTTGTTGAATTGTCTGCAGCTAATGTCTTTGTTATACATCTCTATCTTGATCAGGTGTCCTCTCAATGGACATTGTCCACTAATAAGTCCTGTAATTATCCTGGGTCGATCCATGCTTTGTTGAAGCAGTTCTTCAATTCTCTTCTGGGACAGTTGTTTTATTAAAGTATTCCCATTTATGTTTCCAGAAATATTTTCTCAGTGCTCTTTATGTTTCTTTGACACCTACTTTCCAATCTGGTTCTGTACCAAGGATTTTGGTCCTCTACAGCTGGTTCAGGGCCTACATATGGAGTTGATTCTTGTCAGCTTTTTTGTTGCGTGTGATATCTGACTGAGTGTCCTGGTACTCTATCAGTCTATTCTAATATGCCAGTATCTTAGTTCTTCACGGCAATCCCAGACCAGTCTCGATGTCATATTTGGGTTCATCAGTGCCCCAAGTGCGGTCTTTTAGTGAAAATATTGATCTGCTAATTTAATTGAGGTCTCAAAATTATTGTTCTTCAAATATTTCAACATTGCATACACTTCAACCTGAAAGACTGATGTGTATTGACCAAGTGGGTAACTGAAATGTAAATTTCACATTGCACAGTAAATTCCAGCTCCTGCACCATGTTCTGTTTTTCACCCATCTGTATTCCAGGTGTTTTTGCCAAGCATGTTCTAGGTATGACTGATCATTCACCCCTGTTAAAAAAATCAGTGGGTTCTGCTAACTTTACTGTTGAGCTGGCAAAATAAATCTGATTCCTTCATCTTTTGGAAAATTTTAACTTTTCATAATTTTAGACTTCTTCTTTACGATATTGAAAAATGTATGCTCCTCCTTTGAATTTAATATTTGGTGAATACCTCAGACTACCATGGAAAGTCGGCGATGGATGGAAATAAGAGCCTGAAATTCTCAATATACTTCTGTCTCTCCAATGGACCCACTGATATTAAAAAAAAACAACTCATGGGAAGGCGGCGATGGGTAGACAATTTTCAGTATATTTCTGTCTCTTTCACACTCTAAAAATTATTCCAAAAAAAACATTTTCGTCTCTACCATATATGTTGAGGTAGCCACCCAAATAGTTAATTCAAAGGAGGAGCAAAAAATTGAGTGCCTCAGTGAAAGAAGGGGCTATGCTACAAAATCAATTTTTTGACAAAATAAAGGTTAAATTAGAATAAGTCAAACATAAACATATTCAAGTAACACTTTTTTGTGAGATTTTCTCAACCAGTTCACAAAATCGCAACACATGTTTCACCATACAATAGATACCTCTGGGGTGTTAATACTCGCATACTCATGCATAAACATGCCTGAGAAAGCTATTATTCATTTTGAAAATGGATATGGGGATATGGCACACTTCCAAAGAGTTCATATTATGATCCACAGGTAGCAGCACGATCCAGAACGATTAAAACAAAAAACAACTTGTGAGCACAAAGTATGTGCTCTGCTGTTCCATCATTTTCCAAACAGAGGCGACACACACTATCTTCCGACAGTCCGAGTCTCGCATATGATTATTCAAATGACAGTGACCTGTGAGAAGGCCTGTTAGACATCGTAGCTCATCCCTGCTGTAGTCCAACAACTGTTTGGTATCAAGTTTTGAAGGGTGAATAAACGCCTTGGAGTGAGCCAATCCTGGAAGGTTCTGCCAGAAGTCTGGTTGGCAAAACCTAAAGCGATATCAATGACACGTTCTGGTCCAATGAAGCTGCTTGCAGCACCCCCCTTTGCAAAGGAGTCAGCAGCCTCATTGCCTTCCAGGCCAGTATGGCCAGGAATCCAGACCAGAGTCAATTTGTTAAGTCTTCCTATCGAGGAGAGTCGTTTTTGGCAATTCGATACCGATTTAGACGTTGCTCTGTAGGGGCCAAGAGCTTCCAACGCCGGTTGACTGTCCGAGAATATTTTTATTGACTTATGTATGAGGTTGGATTCTTCCAATTTCTCCGCACACAATTCAATAGCGTAAATTTCCGCTTGAAATACAGTCACATAGGTTCCTAGGCAGGTTGATATCTCTGTCCTGCGTCTGCGACTGAAAACACCTGCACCAGAACCGGAAGGTGTTTTTGATCCATCTGTGAACCAACAACTATCTGCTCCTAATATTTCCTTCTCCCGGAGGATTCAATCCTCTGCTTGGGAACAGTACTTTATAAGGCAGTTTGTAGTTGACAGTTGGAGGCTAAAGTCGGAGGTCATTTTCAGAATGCTGTGACTTCCAATTTCAAGCAACAGTCTGTCGCACTCTGCATTAGATTGATTTGTGCAATTGGTAATGTGCACAAGTCTGTATGCAGTCCATCTAGCCCCTTTCTCCAGAAAATGTGGAGAGGGGGTAGATCCGGAAGGATCTCCATGGCCGCTGACGGTGTAGTACTGATGGCACCACTGATGGCCAGACAAGCCTGTCTCTGTAAGCCAGAGACCTTTGCCTGGGCCGTTTTCTGTAAAGCCTTCGGCCACTAGGCAATTGCACCATAAGTGATCATTGATCTGACAATCATCATATAAATCCAATCGATTTGTTTGGGACCGAAACCCCAAGTTTTACCACACATCCTTCGACATGTCCATAGGGCTTTGTGTAAAACACATCAAGGACAATGCCAAAATATTTCACCTCCGTTCCAAATGGAATGACCTCACCATTGAGGGAAAGTGGCGTTAGATCGTCCAATTTTCTCCTCCTGGTGAAAGGGATTATCACAGTTTTGCTGGGGTTGACAGACTCTCTCAGGCACCAACTGTGAACAACGTCCATCGTGCTTTGGAGGATATTACAAACTACTCTTCCCGACTTGGATCTTGCCAAGATGACAAGGACATCTGCATATGCTTGCAGATCTACGTTTCTTCTGTCGAGGGCATCAAGCAGACTATCCATTAGCGATCACTGAAGAGGAGATAGTACCTCACCTTGAGGACAGCCTCTGGTGTCTCCCAACCCTAAAGGCCTCGCCTTGAAGAGTCGTTGTTGCAGTTCTGTTTACCAGCATAGCATAGATCCAGCCAGTTATGGTCGATTCTATACCTTTCGTAGCCAGAGAGGATCCTATAGATTTAGGTAGTGCATTGTCAAATGCTCCTTCAATATCGAGAAATACAGCAACCGCATCAGTGCTACCTTCGCCTTTCTTTTCACATTTTCTATATGTTGGTTTTAGATCAGTCTGGGATCTAGAGTCTCTCCCAGATATTTGACATCCCCTGACAGATGTATCTCTTCACCTCGAAGTTTTACAGGTTTTGGGTTTCCATCTTGGTCCTCTTGGGGAATGTTACCGTGGTCGATTTTGTTGGAATGATTTTACAGACCATTTAATTTTCTCTAAATCTACAACTTTCTTTACCACCAGCTAATCCTCCCTAGATGCCTTTCTGAGAGCATCCACTTCTGAATTTACCGAAAACTCCAGTGTTAGATTTGTAATTTCCAACCCGAGGAAGTGCACCCAGAGATAAACTCTCTCATAGTCTCTTCTTTTTTTGTGTAGTTTCTGGTATTTGGTTTCGTTCAAAACTATCTTATAGAGTGTGGCAAGTACTTGAGACTGGTTGACTTTCTCGCATTGCCTTCTGCACGAGTCTCTTTTAGATTTTTTCAAGGCTTTTCTTATTCAGTTGGGGACCTTTAAAATTCATTCTGTATACCTGATTTCCCTGCACTCTTAAATGTTTTTCTAATTTGTTGTTTCATCCTTGCCAGATCTTCATTCCACCAGGGAACATTCTTGTTTGATCTCTGGCTGACTATGGGACAATATTCGTGTAGGTAGAGACAATAGCTCCCAGTAATCGGTCTGCTGCCAACTCTAAGTCTGTATAATCTCTTATTTCAAAACTTATCTGGTCTGAGCAAGTCTCTAGATCTGCCTTATAGGCTTTCCAGTTTGCTTTTCGGGTGTTTTAATAGAAAAGATTGAGGTATGAAGCCCTCCGATTTCAAAGTTTGTATGTCGATNTAATGTCACGCAAATCACCCAAAATTCATTTGTAGATTTCAATTTATTAACAAACTATAATTTAGGATACTATTTTTCTATATGAACATTTCATTGCAGAAATGTTCCTGCAAGGGTATTGTGATCTACTTCAGATGACTTCTATAAGCGTATGCATAGAATGAGAG